TTCTGCTTATTGTTCTGTTAGAAGTTGATGTCATTGAGAGTAGGAGTTCTTGATGAGTATATAGTAGTATAGGGTTTAGACCAGAACCTATGCAGTCCCAGGGACTCAAAATTGATCCCAATCATATAATTCTAGTTCTCGTGGCATAGGTCTGAGGTGTTTTTTTGCTACCAGAATTTGACCACAACACTACATGTTGTGCATCAATTGAAATTGCATTTCACAGGGAGTTCCCAATGTTAAGTTAACATTCCAAATTCTAGTAGAAAAAACATACCAAATGATATTTTTTAACATTAGAAGGAATTTTATTGGTTGATTCCCGTTATTATAGAAATGCTAAATTTGATAGACAGAGAGACCAAAAATCTATCACATGTTGATAGATTTAGCATTTTTAGAATGGATCAATCGACCCCATTCTAAATGTGTGAGGACAATCCACAATCATGAGTAGATAGTGAATAACCTCACTCTTTAATGTGCTAGATCCATTACAGGTAGGGGACCCACACAAATCAAAATTTTGAGTCTGATAAAGCCTTCCTTCCTTGCTGTTCGTTGAAATTTGTATTCCTGTTATTGGGTTATTCCTATGTTTTCAGGAATCACTTTCATTGGTACTGAAGGCACAGCCGACCAGCTCAACTTACATATTTTCCCCCCATTTTTGGAATTTGGAATCCTGCATAATTGCACGCTAATTTCACAAGATTCCGACAATTTGGGATTTTCACAAAGACAGAGCTGTCTTCAGAACTTCGGAAACTGAATCCTTCTCCAAAACTAAATCACAAGAACAAGAACAAAAACAGTCAGTATCCTCCTCCAAAACAGTCCCTACCCTCACTATTTGGCAATTGATTGCTCCTTCACAGAAAAATGTCCGTTGAGTTAGTTTTAATAGCATGGGCTCTCCAGTAGCAGCAACAGAAGGAGGAGGAGGAGGAAACGCGCCATTGGCTGTCCCTTCACAAAAAGCGCCACAACCAAGCTCTTCTCAACTGCTGTGGTGTGGACCAGGCAAACCCAAGGGCAAACCCAGACTGATAACCCCAACTGTTGGGCTAGCATTGGTGTTGATGTGGTACAGGACTCATGGATCAGCAGCTTGTAGGGCCTTGTCTATGGTGTTTGGACTTACCTCCACTCCCCTGTACAGATGGTTGAGATTTTCTAGATGAGTCCTTCTTTTTGTGTTGCAAAAACACCCAAATTTGATTATTAGGCCTCCAATTATGAACAAGTAGAGACATACGTGTCAGCAATAGCAAGGAAGTACCCAAAACTTGGTACAAGGAGGGTCTGGAGTGCAGCAGATGGCCTCAAAATTAAGCTCGAGCACTCTACCAATTGGCATATTCAGGCCATGTACTATAATGGGTGGGGCATGGATACTTACATTAATAGTTGTCTCATCTACGCCCCCGATGGAAAAATCTGGATGGCAACATATAACTGTCCTGGGACTTTTCATGACAGCACCATGGCAGATTATGGCATATACGAGAAGTTGGAGGCCATATATAGAAGGAATGGGGGTGTTGACTCTGCCTTTAAGGTCAGAGGGGCCAAGTATCTCATTAGAAGCCAGCAAAATGATCCAGATAAATTCCCCACAATGGCAGAGAACAATCGCGCTATTGTACTTAACCAAGAAGCCACAGCAGTCTGACAGTTGTCAGAATGGGGTATGCAAATGATCCAGGGGCAATTCCCAAGATTGAAAGAAAAAATGAAACTGGAGGAACTTAGTGATAGGAAGGTTATTGTTAACCTCATGTTGTTGTTGTATAATTATCAGTGCAGCAAGGTGGRCATTAATCAGATCCTCAACACCTTCATGAGCGATATGAGTGGCTTTGAATCCTTTGAGAAGCTGAGGGAATCCTATGGGAGGAGACAGATAGGATACTTTGCTTACCAACTTCAGCCCAATGGGGACACCAACAGCTCATTCCCTGGCTTGTTGTCGTGAGTGCGGATTGTTGATTGTTGATTGCGTTGCAGATTGTCGATTGTCGATTGCGGATTGTCAATTGCAAGAAGCTGTCCATTGTGCTATGGTTGTTTCAGTTATCTAAGTGTAATGAATTGCTAATTACTATTTCTACAGTTACTCCTGTTACTCCTCCAGTTAGATTATGAAGAGTGAAGAGTGAGCTAAAAGAGCAAACAAGAAGCTACCTACGCAATACACCATGTTATTTGAGTTCCTTGCCCACTGTAGCGCCGTGTTTTTTGTGTTGCCAGTTTTCATGGGTACCTTCCCACAAAAAACTGGGACCAGTAACTAAGAGGGAACACGTTGCACATGGAAGGAATCCCACACGATTGCCAGCACGGCACTTTGGTTTACATAGAGCTAACTCATTGGACATGGAAAGCCAGTTTTCATGTGAACCTTTTTACAGAAAGTATCAAGTATACTGGATTCCTTTTACATGTAGTATTGGGTATACTGGATTTAGAAGCAGTATTAGTATTCAGTACTCATAAATCAGTAGCAACAAGTGGAGCAAACAGCAATCAGCAAAGTGGAGCAAACAGCAATCAGCAAACAGTAGTTTAATTTAGTAAACTTAATTTGTATTTAACCATGGGAATCATCGTCCTCTGAGTCCTCTGAGGAGGACGCAGAGGACAAGTCCTCATGCTGTCTCTTCTTTTTGTTCCTCTTCTTTCTCCTCTGGACAAATGCACTGGCAACAACACAAACCATATCTTTGATGTCAAAGTATGCTGATACTGTTGAATTGATGCTTCTTGGTAAGCTTTATGCTGTTGCATCGATGCTTGAGCAAGTGTTTCTTGGTGCTTCATGGACATCTGGAACATGGATGTGACATCTGTGTTGATGCTGCTGATACTGGAGTGGCTGGAGGCTTTTGAGTATGCTCTCTTGAGGGGAGGGCAAGGAGTGCTCACCAGGTGAGGAACAGAAACAATTGATGCTTGTTGCTAAGTTGATTGGGTTGTTTGCTGTGTTTTCTGAGTCAATTGGGACTGGTATTGCTGAATTCCTTGAGCAAGCTGCACCATCTGAGTTGCAGCAAGCTGGGTTGGTGTCTCCTCAAGCTGGGTTGGTGTCTCCTCAAGCTGAGTCAGCGTATCAAGCTGAGGAGTGAGATGCTCACCAGCAGTTTCTTCTTGGGTAAGTTGTGAAGGCTGTGTAAGTTGCCAGCGCTGTTGAAGAGGAGGAGGACTTGGGGTCTCATTGTTGTCTTTGTCGTTGTTACCTACTAGGACTAAAGTGGTGTAATCCTCACTAATCGTGTATCCTTCTTCCAGATCAAACTCCTCTTCCCCATCTCCAATGGCTGCCTTGGCACCAATCAACTCTTTGATCTCCTTTGCAAGCTTGATTGCTGGCAACATATATGGATTCCCAGTAGGAATTTGTTTCCTGTGGAGGGAGGAGTACTTCCTGATGATGGATTCCTTGTCTCTTCCATTCCCCCAGTTCTCTTCATGGGTATCAACAACAACTCTCCATTGTTCTGGTCCAATAGGAAGGATCCTCCTCATGAGTGTCAGCATGTCCATGGTCTCTCTATGGGTGTAGTTGATGGAACCTTTGGATCTTCCTCCTCTTTCTTGAGCAATCGACCTTCTTGGACCTGTCGACCTTCTTGCAGCTGTCATTGCTGCTGCTGCTGTCGACCTTGCAGCAGCTGTGGAGGACCTTCTTGCAGCTGGTGTTGCTGGAGCTGTTGCTGGAGCTGTTGCTGGAGCTGTTGTTGGAGCTGTTGTTGGGGCTGGAGCCATGATACTTCTGCTGTTCTTTTTATGAGTGGTGGGTATGCTAATCACACACAGTATCTTGTGGTGGTCTTCCTCCCTGTCTTCCCTCTCAAGGCAAGAGCGCCACCAGCTCTCTTCCCTCCTCTTAGCAAGCGCTTGCATCATCCTCCACAACAGAAGAATCTGGATGCTAGTGTTGCAATTCAGTAGAGGGCTCCACGTGCCAACCATCAGCATTGTTTCTCTTTGTTCCTTCTCATCTTTGCTGTCGTTGTGTGCGTTCTGTTCTTCCAGGAGGGGAAGAAGAAAAGATGTGCTTTTTTCTTGACACTTCTTTTCTGCAGGAGTTTGGTGCCAGTTTAGGGCGCACCTGCTCCTGAGACTGGAAATGGTTAAGTCAAGGATTCCAATTGAAAAATATGTAAATTACACAAAAGTTGGTTGTCGTGGGCCGAGCCGGGTGTGCCAAAATTTACACAGATATATGTTATTGGGAATGACCCATTATGTGCTAAACTCATAGATTTAGCACATCTAGCATTTTAGAATAACGGGAACCACCCATTATGTCACTGTAGGCCTTCATAGATCCTTGTACTACTAGTATTTCTCAATTAGCGTGTAGTATGCGTGGTAATGAAAATGCAATAGAAGTTGTATTTTGTATCGGTTTCAATTGTTAAGAAACGGCAGTCAGGATTGATATAAACTCATAAGCCAATTTTCGTAACTAATGACACGTTGATAAATAATTATGAGCCAATCAGATGAAACCAATGACGGTCAATAGCATGTCCGACCAAACTGTCAAAACTTACAATATTATGGAACCAAAAAATAAGTATTTCCTTGCTTAAGTCCGACGAAACTGATATAATACTAGAAATAAGAAGACATTCTTCGATCCCTTTCGATAAAAATCATATACAGTACTGTATTCGAACGAATAATCATATTTTACTATGAAGAAGACATTCTTCAATGCCTTCAGTACGGAAGATAAAAATAATACTACTATCTTCGAACGAATCATCACGATACTTTCTGAAGAAATTCTTCGATGCGAAAGAATCATCATCATATTGTAAATTACGTATCTTCCAAAGACTGCATTAATCAATATTTGAAGTACCTCATCTTTTCGCTTTCAGTAAAAAAATCGCACAACGCTCTGGATGTAAGCTTCAGGCTCCTATGATATTCAAATCAGGGGTGATAATTATAATCCTTTCTTTATGGCTATGACCCCTGGCCGACCTATTGCAGTWTGKWTTTCTCAAGATCTTTGGAAGTGCAAAGCAACAAAGATCCTCGTATGAAAAAAAATTGCGTGGAAAACAACGCGATGTTTCCGCAGATCTATCYCCCMCCGATYCCTGCCATAATTTTCCCGAGTATATTGCACACCGAGGAATAATAGTGTAACCATGACGAATTATCAAAGCATCCCATCTTACCAAGATGATGACACTGGTGTCGATCCTGTTATCAACGATCAGCAATTGATCCCCGATCATGGCTTATTGACCAAACGCCGTACTCTTGCCGGCGTTTTCGCTTTCGTTTTTCTTGTGCTAGGATACGTGGCAAGTTACACGGATGTTGGTGTCACTACGTCAAATGCTACAAAGGTGAGTTGTCTTGTTCTAAAGTATACATCGTCGCTCTTCTTGGCTTGCCGCCGGCTTGAATCGCAGCGCAGGGCATGTTTGCTCCGTGGAAACCAAATGAGTTTCGGGGGTTGGTGTCGAACGTGTCAACAAATTCTCGTGGCTCATGTTGTTGTTATTTCGATATCCTTCAACTTTTTACGCTAGGCTGCCTTCTGGGGCACTGCTTTGGAAAATGGCGAGAAATGCTGGGTCTCCGAAAAGACTGCTTGCGCGTCCAACGTATGTTGCCCTGTTTCGTGGGGTTTTATTGGTGTACTCGGCGAATGCAAAACTTGTTGCAGTAGCCAGCAATGCACTCCACCTTACAGTCCAGCACCACCTGCTGGAGAATGGGGTGATGCATTTTGTGTCAACGACACTTGCGCGTCCCATTTGTGGGAATTCGCAGAGCCTAGAATCCCCAAGACCGGATATCCAGTCTGGCTTCCAAGCGAAACGCTCGATAACAGTAAATCGTTTCGTCGACTCGATATGCCGCGTACCGTCATGGAAGACACGACGCCCGTGTTCACGCAGCTGTGGTATTTTGACTTCAACGAACAAGAGGACTCTTTCAACAAAGATGACATCATTATCACCGATACTAGCATCTCAATTCCGGTGTGGAATGAGTTGCATGCTTCTTACTCGAGGTCATACAACGTGTATGATGAGCACGAGACAGGAATCGTTACCCTAGTTGCGGGCGACAATGAAATGTCTCTGGTGACGGACTATCCAATGGGATCTTTTGTCGAAAAATACCACACTCTGACTTACGATGGTATCAAGAATTTTGATCGCGCAAATTATATCCAGCAGAAGGCCAAAGAAAGGATTAATGAACCTTTTGATGGACCAGCATGGTGGAGTCGTGCCGTTGCCATGTTTCTCGCATCGGCAAGAAGAGATATAATTACAGCACAAGTTGAATCCGGTGTTGATAAAGCCTTATCATGGCAGCTACGTCGCTATGCCACTGACTATGCAGCGGAAGACTTTGGTTCCGTGAATCCAAGCACCTCTGAAGTCTGGGCGAGTCACACTGAAAACGCAAAGAAGGCTATCGAACTAGCCAAAGACCCTAACTTTGAAAGAGAGTACTTGAAGTCAGAACAGCACTGCAAACACTTTGAGGCTGGGCTTGGAGTTGACGTCATCAAAAATGATGAGGGGGTTCCAACCCACCTCACGTTCCCTCTAGGTCGACCATTCGTTACCACTAGTGGCGAGATGGTGAACGCTCCAGTGCATTATCTTGGATTTGTCGTTGGGCATGTAACCGCTCATTACGAAGACAACATCCTCCAACTTTTTTATGAGGGGCATTCTGTGTCTCGTCAATACTCAGACGTAGCATTCACACCACCATATCCTAATGGACTCTATGTCAGTCCCGTTGCGGAAGGGCCTGACTACGTTGTCGACCCTGATCTTGATGGTAGATCCGATGTTTACCTCAAACTGACACAACCTGACGACGACTTGACCATGAACGACTTCACCATGAGCTTGGGATTAGTTGATGTGGAAACAGACTTTACTTTATGGGGACGCTCCAAAAGTGAAATTTGCGATCCCGATGTCATAGACGATCCCATGTGGGAAGAAATCGACCTAGGTTCAGACGATGACAGCGCATTCTCAAAGATTGCGGGGAGTTTGCAACTTGCGAAGGGTGTGGTCAGGGGCATGCCGTGCGCAGATGTCTGGATGCGTTCTGATGCCGGACCTGCAACTCATAGCTATGATGCAAACGAGATGGGCGTTTGGGCCCACTTTCTCACGGAGGTTCCAGACGTGCAGACCAAGCCGATGGGTCTAGGAAGGTTCTGGGATGACTGGGAATGTTTCTATCAAAACAAACCTTATTCCCATTGTCGAGGCGAGAGAACTTTGTAAATCCATTCATGTTTTGCGGGCGAATGATGATGTTGAGACGAATGCCCAATGCTAGCACTACTACTTCTCCTCGCCGTGTAGGGATTGTAGCAGTGTACCCGGACTGGGTCTTTTCAATGTCGGAGTCACCGTGTATTATTCTCATCAATCACTTTTAGGAAAGAAGAAAAGCAATTCAAATATTACCAAATTTAGTAAGGGGCAGAAAAGATACATTGGCTTTGTCGCCGAGCCCGCCCATGAGGCGTAAAAAGAAACAAAATAAAAAGATTCAGTTACTGTCGTATCGAATTTCGTTTAGTTTCATTTAGTTTTCTCTTTATGTATGCTCTCTCCAGTGCCTTGGATTGCTGTCCATCGAGCCAAAATCTCCGTGTTCCACTTCGGTAGTGTGAAAGACAACCAGAGCAAAGGACCACAAATGCAACACCATCAAATAGAGGAGCAAGCCCAATCGGGCAAGGGGTTCGTGTCGCATGAACGACCCGGTGTCCACCATCCACGAGTCAATAGCGTCGATGGTGAGAGCCACCTGTTCCAGTGCCGCGCCAGATTCGGCTGGACGCCCGGACGCGAAACACGGCAGGGCCGATCGGATCGATCGCACTCCGCGGGACGATCCGCCCTTGATTCTTCGGCGGGGGGAGAACGTGGTGCCATTGCCATGGTTCCCGCGGCTCTCAATGTCGTAGGAGCGCGAGCGGGGGTTTGCCGCGGTTTTCGAGTGGTGGCCTGCCTTCTCGGCTTCTTCGGCGCGGGCATTTGCTGCCTGCAGCCGTCCCTTCAGGGCCAATATCTCGGACTTGGCGTTCTTTGCAACGCTTTGTTGGCGCAAGAGCTGTTCCGACAAATTTGCAATCTCGCGTTTTGCTCTTTCCAGTTCCAGCTCGGACGGACCTCGCGGCTGTTGCACGTCGCCATTGACCGAGCTGGGGTGTGTTGCATTAGAATCGTTGCCAACCCCACCGGTGTTGCTTCCGGAATGACCCGCTTTCTGTTGCAAGGCCCTTGCGGAGTCCTGCAATCGGTGGATCGTAGCTTCTAAATCCGCAACCTTGCGGTCGTGTTGGTGCTGTCGAGCCTGCGTCGAAGACAGTTCTTGTTTTCGTTCCTGCGACACTTCCGTTAGCTGTTGCTGGAGGGCCTCTCTCCGTTGCGTCTCCATGGTCAATCGAACCCGAACGGTCTCGAGCTCCTCAGAAACTTGTTCCAGTTGTTCCTTGAAGTATGATCCATTCGCTTCCTGTTGCTCCTCGTCCGGCGACGATCCGGGAGCTGCACCGTGCTTAGAGGACGCCATCCTTTGTTGCTGGAGCTCCTGCTTTGCCATCGTAAGTGCCGAACCCATCTCGAGTATGGTTTGCTCCAGTTCTGCCTCCCTTGCCTGCCGCTGGGCCATTTGCTTTGCGTGGAGGGCCGTCGCTTCGTCAAGTTCTTCGCGCGCTCGCCGCTCTCTCGCCGCAACCGTTTCCGCCGACTCCATGGACGATTCCACTTGTTGCTGAAGGGTCGTCTCGTGGCCAATCACCCGATCGAGTTTCGCTTGCAGGGCCGTTTTTTCTGCCGCGACCTCGGCGAGTTTTTTGAGGGCTTCCTTTTCTCTCTGATTTGCGTCCCGCAAGTCGCGAATCGAGTCCCCACCCTCTTGTTGTCGAAGGGTCACTTCCGACTCAAAACGTTCCTTCCACTCTGCTAGTTGTTGTTCGTATTCTTGGCGCATCTTGTCCAGGGCTGCCTGGTGGTCGCGCTGCAGGTCTTCCATTTCGTCGTCGTGGTCGTCCTGTATATCTTCCCGCTCCTCTCTGGCGTTTGTGCGCATTTGTTCCATTTCTTTTCCGGCTCGCAGGAGTTCTTCGGCTTGTGCCTCGACTTCGCGTTCGCTTGCTTCGAGTTTGTCCCCGAGATCTTTCGTTCGTTGCTCGAGTTCCTGCTTCTTGGCTTCTCCCTTTGCCAGCTCATCTTTCATTTTTCCAACCTGGGACTGCAAGGATTGGATCGTCTTGTTCTTTGACACTAGTTGTTGCTGCTGCTGCAGGAACCTTTGCTTCTGTTCTTTGAGTTTTATATCGTCCTTTCTCTTGTTGATCGTTGTGGTAGCATGAGGAGGAGTTTCCGAGCGAGCAACGTTCGGTTTAGAGGCGTTCGGATTTGGCGGTGGCACCACGCTTCTCGCAGGCGGTCGAGGTGGAGGAGGCTTCTTCTTTTGCTCCTTTGCGGCTACTCCGGGGTCGTCTTTGTCGTCTCTATCCGTGTCGACACTGGCAACCGCAGCAGTGGCAGACGTGTTGCTTTTCTGGTGCTGCCGCGTGGACTTGGATGGATCGGTAGCTCCACTAGCCGATCCCACCTTCCGGACGGAAGCAACGGAGGAACCGGCATCTTTGTTGCTGGTCTCTTCGTTCTTGGACAACCCCGGCTCGGTTGGATTGCCTTCGTCGCCCCTGGCATCGGTGCCGTCGGATCCGCCGCCGTTGGTTTCTTCCGTCGCCGTTGTTCCTGCATCGCCGCCGCGCTTCGGCTGGTCGGGAATCGGTGTGGGCGGCGATTCCCCGCGATCGGCCCCTCCCTCGTCGCCGGACGGCGGCCTCGGTCCCGTCGTTTCGCGCTCGGCATCGGGGACCGGGTTCCCCGGAACCGTGGCGCCGGGCTCGCCCTCTTCTCGCGGCGGACCTTCCGCAGCACCGGCGTCGCCGGAACCCTCTTGCAAAAGGCCATCGATGCCGTCGTCACTCCCGGGAAGGTCCGCCGTATCTACTCCGCCGCTACTGGGTGCGTCGCCAAAGCCGCTGTTTGCCTCTGGTGTGTTCTCGTTCTCGTTTTCGGTTTCGCTGGTCTCGGGTTCGTTGTTGTTGTTTTTGCTGCTGGTGCTCCCCAACCCTTCCGCGCCGCCGGAACCGCCACTTTCTGCCGAATCGTCGTCTCCGAAGAATCCTTCCTCGTCTCCAAAGAATCCTTCGTTGTCTTCGTTATCCTCGTAGGAATAGTCCTCGTCGTCGTAGGAATCACTGTTCGTGTAGCTTCCACCGCTGCTTCCGCTCTTGGTGCCCGCGGCGATGCCGCCGCTCATCGCGATGTTGCTCGTGAGGGCGCTGGCGTTGCTGGCGAGGGTGTGGTTGAGCCTCCTCAGGTTGCTGGAGATCCCGGCGGTTGTCGCCTGCTCCGCGACCGTTTCGGCCACGGTTTCCGCCTGCCCGTCGAGGTTTTCCAGCAGGTTGTTCACCGAAGACAACCATCCCGACATGATCGAAACGAAGCCTTGCGGGGATCGGAGAGATCGGGCGGCCTTCTGTGCTCCAATATAGGGGTGGCAAGAATGCAGAAACGAGAAGTCTTTCCGTAGGATACCTTACGTAGAGTTGTTGTATCGAAGGCTATCGCACCGTCGGCTTGGGTTGTTGCTCTGGAATGTTTTTTGGATGACCTATCCCGAAACAGTTCGTACTATGGTAAAGTACTGGGTACTGTACTGGATTGATCTCTTCAATTCGTGTTTGCCTGGTGTGAGGGAGTGACACTCGTACCGGTACCTACCGGACTGTACTCGTACTCGTAGCTAATGTAGAGTACGAGTACGGGTACGTCGTACTTCTGCTTCATACCTTGGTGGAATCCAGAATCTACCATACATACGTAGTATTCATACCAGTAGTACATTGAATTGAGTATATTCTATATTCCAATCCGTGCACTAGTACAAAATAATACGGTACAGTATATTAGTACTTCTGAAGGAAACATAAGTAGTACTCCTCGAAATCGTTCTTTTACAAGTACATCCTGGTCATTGTACAAAACGCTGTCAGTGACAATCGAATCTGGAAATAATGATATTTGGTGGATAGGAAGCAGCACCATGATACTGAAGGACAGTACAGTACAGTTCAACGCAGTAGTATTCAACAAAAGTACAATATTATGCGACGTTGACTGTTGTATTTGGCACATACGGCTGTTATTGTAGTATACCCCATCCAAGAATCACGATTGCTACAGAACCAAAACTCATGCGCCACCAGCAGGCAATCTATTTCGCACGTTTCTTTGTCATTTTCTTCATCTTGCCGACCCCGGCACGGCCCTTCTTCTTTCGGAAGGAAGATGCTCCGAGCCCGTCGTTGAATTCGTAATCGTACGCAGTCTCTCCCTTGGCCAGCTGGCCCTTTCGGATGGCCTTGGCCTTGGCAGCTCCGCCTCCGTTCATGACGGCGTTCAGGATCTTCATCGACGAGTCTCCCTCGGATTGCAGCACCTTCTTGTCGGTGGGGTTCTCGTACTTGCGCTTCTTCGTCTTCGACAGGACCTTTTTCCGTTCGGGTTCGCCCTCCCGCATCTTGTCGAATTTCCCGAGGGACGCCGTGGACCTCTGAACCGCGGACAGCGCAGCAAGCGTGGAAGACTTCCCCCGCAGCTTGTTGTCGGCGGCCTTTCGGGGGTCGTTGCTGTTTTTCAGATCGATCGGCAGGCCCACGGGCGTCGACCTGGAATCCTTTCTGCCCGCCTCCTTGCCCGCCTTGTAGGCCTGTTCCCGGGCCTTCATGGTTCGATTGGTCGCGCCCTTTGTCAGGTTTCCGGCCCGCTCCTCGTTCTTCAGCCGGCGCTCCATGTTTCGATCGAGCCGGGCTCGTTTCTCCTCCCGCTGTTTCTCCCAGGGATCGTCGAACGGATCGTCGTTTGCACCGACCTCCATGATCGGCCACTCGCCTTCTTTCGCGTTGGCCTTTTGGTACCCGTGTCGGAACATCCACGTACCAGTGCCTTCGTCCCAGACCTTTCTCGATCGCTTCTCTTTGTTGAGAGGGATTCCCTTGGCCTTGGCAAATTTCTCCCATTTTGTTTCTTGTTTCGGGGGCGGTGGTGGCTGCCCGGGCAAGAACGATGGTTGTCGCATCGGACGGGTTTCACCAAACCACACAATTCACAACATCAAACATACCACAAAGGCGCGATGCAACATACAGCAGGTTCAAGCAGATAACCAAGATCGACCGTCGGGTGAGTCAAGGAAGAATAGAAATTCCTGATATCTGTTCTTCTGCAACAACACAATAGCAGGCATGCATCCCCTGCGTTAACGTACCATCGCTCTCGGAAGTCGAACCTCGTCGTAGGTAGGCAGAGTCACCAATGGTCCGGCATCACTTGCCTCCGTTGGAAGCTTCCACAGGGCTTCGATGAGCTGGGTGCAACCATCGGTAGCTTTCGACAGCAAATACTCCTCGTTGACTTCGAAGGCTGCATTGGCGAGGGGAATTTCTTCGTTGCCGCCCGCATCCGACTTCTTCTTCTTCGAACTCTTGTGCAACGAACCAACCTCGAGCTGGTCCGTATTGATGGCGAGCATGTTGCGCAGATCAAACGTGTATGGCTCCGATGGCAGTGCCGACGCGGGTTGGTCCTCGTCGTCCGTGTCGTCTTCGTCGTCGTCATTCTCGCTTTCTTCCTCCTCATTCGCCCCCTTGAACAACGAGGCTGCTACATCCTCGTCCCCATCGCTTCCAGACTCGCTGTCCGAATCGTCGTCGTCGTTGCTGTCCGACTCGTCGGCCTCGGATTGGTCGTCGCTCTCGTCTTCGTCCTCCTCCACAATTTCTTCGTGTTTCGTTTTCTTGCCTTTGCCGGCCTTTTGCTTTTTCATCGCCATGATCGACCGGTTTGACTTTCGCAAAATAGATCAGTTGGTGGAATTTTTCCGTGCGGGGATTGTGCAAACCCGAACGCTTGTATGCTCGGTAGTACGTAAACTAATTTTCTTTGAAGTTGAAAGACGATTCCCAACCTTGCCTGAGAAAAGTTTCCTCACGGCATGGATGCTGAAGTGAACTCTACAGACTACAGAATCACTAAACCTGGAAACTTTTTGACGCATAGACGGTAATTTGTTGCTTCTTGTTAGATTGTTAGATTGGACTAGAGAAAAACGAATGGTGAATACGTACCGGTACCGATACGACGTACCGTACGAATGACTGACTTAGGGACTTTGTTAGCTCTTTCACATACCTCACCGCTCATCGTGCAAACTGCAAATTACTGTAGTACGGTACGTACTACCACCATACGTACGTACGTAGTCACTGTACGTATCGGACCACACCGTTTTTCATAAAACCTCGATGAAAATGAGGCTTTGTATCGGATACCAGAGTTGACGCTTACTACTACTACGCATATCAATATTATTATTATTTTACTCGTCCTAGTTTGTCGCTTCGTTTCGAAGCAATTACAGAACTTACTACCGATAGTAGTAGTGGTGTTCGCAGTCAATAAAAACGCCAAGAGTTGTTTCATAACCCATCGTTACAGTATCACCACGATTCTCCTACTCTGATTTCTATTTGAACCTAAATGAAATGCTGTAGTAGAAGTGGTTAGAATGGTGCAAAATAGAGTTCTCGGATATGTCGATCCTCTCTCCGCGGTTCAAAATGGAAAATATTGGTTCTTGAAAAGCTCTATCTCTAAAAACAGTATTCCATAAATGCATTGTCGACTATTGGTCTTTATTGATGTTGTGAATCTCGACAATATTTGTAAGATTGGCCGCACATTTCAAAGGAACAACCGGGTCTCCATGATGGGAAGGGTAGTCGCCCTGTGGTACTTTATACAGTGGCTCCCCTTTTTGTTCGTCTCCCTTGATCCATGGGTGAAGCTGAGCCTGTCGAATACTCATGCGCTCCTCGGGATCTTTCTTGGTCAGCTGTGAAATGAATATAGTTGCTGCTCTCGGTATTTCGTCCGTGTCACGAACCCTGAAGTCTGGCTTTGTCTGCGTCTTGTTTTCTTCCTCGATATCGGTAGGCGATCCCAAGAACGAACAACAGCACACAACCTCGTCCGTGAATTCGGCCGACGCTTTCTGCCCGTTGTATTTGCGCATGTACTTGGAAATGGTGGAATTGGGAGGAACCCCCGTCAGGACGACCCGTAGTGTCCATCCGACCGAGTATGCGTCCACGATCATTCCATAATCAGCAACGCATTCTGTCAGTGCGGCATTTGTCTTGTTGATGTCTTCAATAGTTTTGTTGCGAAGATCGTGCTTGATCTCCGGCGCCGCGTATGCTTTGGTCCCCAACGCACTCATCGACCGAACCTTCTGTTGTGTAATCGATTCACGACGGTTTTTGGATTTGATTGGTGCGACCCTATCTTCTGTGGGCGTTGGAGTCCCGTTGGTGGCGTTCGTAGCCTCCTTTATTTCTTCCAGGTTTGACACGTTCGAAGTTCGTCGTTTCGAAGGCTGGTGTGCTGCGTTGTCCATCATATTTGTTCTCATCGAGTTTGCCGCCATGGTAATTAAAGCTAGCTCTTCGTCGGAGTCGTCTACATTAACCGCAGCAGACGGCGGCTTGGTTTGAGTGGGAGGACCTTTCGACTCCAAAGTAATACTATTACGCATATGGCGCCTTGATTTTTTGGCCAAATCTGGAGTTTTATCATCGGCTTCGCTTCTATAAAAATCGATTTCATTTGCCGTCAAGGCTCGGGCGAAACCAAAATCGACCAGCATGACCTTCCATTTGTTACGTTCGACCATTTCTTCGGCATCCCGCCCGTCACTCCAAATGGAGCTGTCGCGGCTATAATCGTAATAATCCACGGGACGAATCTCGGTGTTTTCTAGAATGAGATTCGTTGGCTTGATATCCCGGTGCAAAACACCCCTGCCATGCAGGTAGGACACGGCTGCCACTAGCTCTCTTGATATCAGTCGACAGAGAGGCAATCCAAGAGCACCACGTTTCGAGACCACCCGTTGAAGGTTCGGTCCCCGAGCAAGCTGAAGAGCAACCAATCGGCTGATGTTATTGTAAATCGGAAACTCTCGAATAAGCCGAATAACGTTGGGGTGTTTTAGTTCCGAAAGAATAGAAATTTCTCGTTGGGCATATACTTTTCCCTTCTCTTCCTTGATTTCGATATTCTTTACAGCGACATATTTGTCGTCAAATTCGTCATCAGCCTTTGTTTTGCGCTCGCACATCCATACTAATCCGAAGCTACCCTTCCCCAAGACCTCGATTCGTTCGTACATCTTGTCGGCCTCTTTTGGCCAGTCCTCTTCTTGAAAGAGATCCATTCTAGTTGCTGTTAATTTATTGCTGTATGATACTTTAGATACCTTTTGAGCACTCTCAATACCTGGAGACAGTCAACAGCCAAAACGGTTGTCATCCAAAAATGCCTGGTCGGCCATCGTCTTAACTGCTACGTACCGTTATTACGCCTATGAGCGCGACCACGCGACGGGGTTTTGGTACGGTAGAAGAAAAGATTTCTTGGGATTGCTGCGACAAGTAGAATTTGAAGGATATTGTTTTTTACGAGTAGGATTATTGCGGCAGAAACCTATGAAAATTATTCATTCTGATCAATTACTTGTCCACTGATTATAGTTCGGCAAAGGAGATAACAGAAAGTCTGAAAATGAAGGTTATTGTGTCGCAAGGGCAATTACTAGAATTATCTCCCTCCAATTCTCAACGGAAAACGGATGCCGACGAATATCATTCTACAAGTGCGCATAAAGCCCATAATGCAATGATAGAGTACATACACTACGTACCTCCGCCACATAATAAACGTACATACCATGATCTTTTTATTAGGCGACTGCTACCGGTACGATTGACGAGGGTTTGACGATAGTGACTCCCGAGTATCTCGTGACCTGGACGGTAGGTTTTATTGGTGTTTCGTCACTTATTTTGAACAACGAAAACATCAGATTGCACCAAACCACTCTGTAAAATTATCGATGGTAAGAAATGGTATGACGCACCTTTCTTACAGGGTGCTCTACGGTACACTTCTTGATTCCGATCGCAACGTAACCGTGCGATTACTGTTACTAGGTTTGTACAGTATATGCCTGTGTCGGATTCAGCATTACAAACATGAACTACTCTCTCAGGCAGTAGTAGTATCCTATCAATGATGAAGACCACGAAATCACCCGCCACCATGACTGGTAACTCCTTGCAACTATTTTTATTTTTGGTGGTAGTTGCCTCGGAATTCTACAGCCGCGTTGAAGTGGCAAACGCATTTTCTATATCCCAGCCATACTCGTCGCCGTTCCGGACAGCGAAATCATGTGGAGAACATTTGCGTCGAAACACGGGGCAAATGTTTTCTATCCCGCCTCCCCTATCGCCTATATCCAACAACGACGACTATGATTACGACGACTTTACAACGGAAGAAGTGACGAACATGTACAACGTGATCGAGTCGCTGAGCCAAGAATCCAACGACGATGCCCGTAGAGCCCGCCTCAAACAAATAATGGAAGTAGCTTTGGCTGGTCCCAACGGCGGGCCGAAGCGGTTTACGGTTCTCTTCGATCGGGTGCTCACCCAGATGGGAGAAAAGGTTCAGCAAGACGCCCGACAAGAGTACGCCGAACGGTCGGCGGCAGCGGCACAGAACACGGAAGAACGTAGCAACGATGCACCACCTGACGACCCACCATCGAAACCCAAACCCAACGAGGCAGACGGATCTGTAGAAGCGACACCACGTCGGGAGAAAACACCGCAGGAACTAAGGCTGTGGGCCTTGGTGGACATGATGATTCAATCGAAGACCATAATAAAGAAACACAAATTCTGAAGTAGAATAGACGTCAGACGTAACGCGTCGAAGCCCTGCTCTTTAATTCTTCATTCATCCCCAATGAAATAGTATTTTGTGTTCTATGATCGTCGTTGTGGTTAATCAGCAAAATTTGTTGTAGGGCTTCATACACAAGACGGTACGGTAAACATTGATTCATTAAAATGTGCGATTCGTAGTGTTTATTTAATATTGCTGCGTGGGCACGGGATAGGAGGATCCAGGATAAGCACCATGTTGTTGCTGTTGCTGAGAATAGCCAGCCTGTGGTTGCTGGGCAAATGCGGGTGCCGGAGCTTGCTGTTGCTGGTGGGCAAATGCGGGTGCCGGGGCTTGTTGCTGGGCAAACGCGGGAGCAGGGGCTTGCTGCTGCTGGGCAAACGCTGGGGCCGGAGCTTGCTGCGGTTGCCCCGGGTATCCTGCCGGAGCTGCAAAGGGAGAAGGCGCGATGGAAGCCTGTGGTTGCTGGCCGGGGTATGCCTGCGGCTGGGCCGACGGGTAGTAGGATGCAGCCTGAGGCGGTGGCGGGGCCCCCGGGTACGCGGCGTTCGGATTCACAGCCGGGACCAGCGCTCTGTCGCCAAAGAAGGACGGGGGCACGGAGGCCGAGTCATCGATTCCGCCGCCCCCGCTCATGTCGCCCAACAAATCAAAGCTTGGTGTCCGTTGGCGTCCGGCATCTTTCTCTGAAAAAATTAGGCAAAAGAGGGGCAGAATACGGTCGAAAGTACAAGTGTCAGATGGCTTTTTGGCAAGAAAAGGCAGTAGCTATTGCAGCATTAAGAACGAGCCAAAATTGACCGCCCCATTATTTTTTTCGTGTGGTGAGCATKGCTAGCGACTTTGAGAACTTCACTTACCGGTATGGTTGGTCTGCCCAGCACCGAGAGAGTAGTTTTGGTAGCCACTACCAGTAGCACCGTTTTGCTTTTGTCCCAACCGTCGCTCCTCCTGGGATCGCCGCCATTCTTCCTCCTGCTTTCGGTCGTGGTGCTCCTTGACGGCCCCCGTCGCACGGATTCCGTTGTCCAGGGGGGTATTCTTCATGCACTCGACAATGGCCTCCCGACAGGCATCGACCTCCTTTGGATCGTAGCTCCCGAAGGCAGCCGCGATGGTCGGTCCGTAGTCCATCCAGCGCTCTAGCTTGAACTGCCGGACGACCTTGTTGTTCCCGTATGGCTTAGTCCGGCACTGGGTGACCTGGTAGCCTCTCACGTTTGGTTTGTAGAGATCGTGGACAAAGTTGATGGCGAGCTTGATCAAAAAGTTTCGCTGGCTCTGGTTGTGGTAGGGATTGTTGAGCCAGTCGTCAAAATCCGACTGAGAACGGAACCACAGCATGGTGTGCCCGCCGTATTGGACCCAAAAAGATTGCTTCCATTTCTTCATCACAATGGTACGAAACGAAATTCTCGACAGGACGAAACCCCTCTTGCCGACGAGTTCTGCCTTCGGAAGCCCCGAGGTGTTCGATCCGGCCACCTGCTGGGCCAAAGCAGTGCTATAAGGATTGCGGGGGTTCTGTTTTTTGTACCTCTCGCCGTCCTCGTTCTTGCTTCTTGCATCGTTTCCACGAGCCACGATGGAGGAAGAAGGCGCGGGAACCATCTGACGGCTGCCATTGTCGCTGCTCTTCATGCTGTTGATGTTTCCATAGGATTGACCACTGTACGCTGATTTCTGGGTGCGGTCCTGAGTTTGGTACGGCTGCTGTGAGTAGGACTGCTGCCGAGGAGCAGCAGGAGAAGGAGCCGCTGACCACGGATCCTGAGCGGCTGGGGCCGGCTGAGGAGGGGGGGCGGGAGCTGCAGACCATGGATCCTGCGCGGCAGGCGCCGGTTGAGGAGCATGAGCCGGTGACCATGGATCCTGCGCGGCAGGGGCCGGCTGAGGNTGAGGAGCATGAGCCGGTGACCATGGATCCTGCGCGGCAGGGGCCGGCTGAGGCGCGGGCGCCGCTGACCATGGATCTTGGGCGGCGGGGGAAGGCGCCGAATAGGCTGGTTGCTGCTGCTGCTGCTGCGGGGGAGGGGCCTGTGCCGGTATGGCCGCAAAGGGATCGAACGAGGATGCCGATGCCGTCGAAGACCGGGTGGGAGGTGGTGCGACAAAGCTCGAATTGGGATTGGACGGTGGGGCATCCCATGGCGTAGACTGCTGCTGTGTAGGTTGCGGTGCGACCATGCCCGCGTAAGGATTCGAGGGCTGGGCCGCCACTACCAGCTGCTGCTGGGGAGGAGCAGGAGGCTGCGCCTCGTAGGCTGGTTGTGCCGGCTGCTGGTAGTACTGCTGAGGCGGCTGCTGGTACTGAGGAGCTGGTTGCTGCTGTTGAGGCGGCTGCTGATACGGCGGTGCCGGTTGCTGATACGGAGTCGCGGGCGGTGCCGCATTGTCAACGGGTGGTTGGATCCCGAACGAGGCGAAAGGGTCTTCCATGATTGTATGCTGTAGTTTTGATTTGTATGTAACTTGCAGTATTGTAGTTTCTTGGAGTCCGTTGTGGTTTAGCCGAAAGAGGTTTTACTGCAGCTATTGTCACTAGAGCAATAATAAAAATTGAACGATCTAAGGGTGTGACAATTCAATGCAACAGCGATCCTTTCGTCTCATGTGCTATGTGCTACCGGTATTGTGCTTCCACTATTACAACATGTGCATCAAGGTGCGGCAGGTTCGTAAGGGATTCAAAATGAGACTACCCGTACGTTTCGTACGGTACAGTACGCTATCGTACAGAAATGACGAAGTGACTTTTTTTTGGTTTTCGGTTCGATCTTTCCGTCTGATCACGAGCTGAATCTCCGCCAGCAGGAGTCGTGACAAAAAATAAAAATTCGACCGTTGAGTGAAGCCACCGTAGAGCCCATGGTTGTGGATCGTGACCGCGAACGAGAAGAACGACAAAAAAACAAAATACCGTACTTCGTCATCGCATTTACTACGACTGCTAGCTATCCCGTGCAATATGAGCGTACTACCGTACGTAAAGTGTCGTACAAATGGTATTGTATTTTTTTAGACCGTCAGCTCAGCCCGCCCGCAACAAGCTGCGTGCGAGCCGTTTCAGTACTGATATAGTTTCTTCAACGCAGATTTGTTCGCGAGTCACCAAAATCACCAATCACCAAAAGGTCTGTGAAGAAGAACAAAACGCATCCTTTTGCCAGAGAGCCTCTGCTCCTTTGCTCTACGGTACGGTATGCTGATACTTACGTACGGTACCCGTTGAGAGTGCCTAAAAGTCTATCATCATTGGACAAAGGGTGTACGGCAGTAATCTACGTCGTACCGCACTGTACTTTTGACTTTGGTTATTTTTATTGGCACAATTGAAATTGATTCGATATCACCCCTAGTGTACTTGAAGAGTTCGAATCCGTATCGCAAAGTATAAGGTATTCGACCCGACTCATCTCATAGGAAGTGTTGTGAAGAGAATAGCATCGGAACAAGATTTTTTGGTGGCTAGATTGCGAAAACCAAAACAACAGTTCGAGAGAAGAACAAACAAACTTTAGAAAAGACTTCCTTCCGTCCGTGCGATCCACTCGTTAAGAACAACGCCACTTGCTTGTGAAACGGTTTCGAATTCTTAAGCTGAACGAGAAAGAATCACATCGCCGACATGTCGAACAATCAAAACAACTCAGGGGTCCCCAATTGGGCGCTGTCGCCATCTCAACAGCAGCAGCAGCAGCAGTACAATCCTCAACAGCAGCAGCAGCAGCAGTACAATCATCAACAGCAGCAGCAGCAGCAGCAACAACACTATCAGCAACGTCCTCCCCCGCAACAGCAGCAACGTCAACCTCATCCGGCCGCAGCGCCCCACCCGCAACAGCAGCAGGCTGCCATCCCCCATGGCGCCGCAACGCCGCAGCCGTCGGCTCTGCAGCCGGTGGCGCCTTCCCAACCCAGCGGGGAAAACAAGCGCCGAAACGAGGCCGCCAACAAGGTATTGGTAACCCGAACGCCGGACGAGGAAACCGAGGACGGACGGATCCGGAATCGGGAGGCCATGGCAAAGATCCGCGATGCATGGGTCTACAAACAGGTCCGGGAACGCGCACGGGAATTCACCGAATACCGACAGGCAAGTGTTTGGTTGCGGATCGGATCGGAATGAGAATATTTGTGTGTTCCTACGGCGTTCACCGCGTTGTCGCTGCAAATGTCTGCACCTGTGGGTTTGAAAGGAAAAGATTGCAGCCTCGAGTCCAAAATTGAAACAAGCAATGGAATATCTGTAGATTTCATCTTTCTCACACAGTTTGTTCTTGTTTTGTTTTTGAAACTACCCATCAACTCTGGTTCGACCCAATGCCTGGTTTATCAATCCAAATGGAATCATTCCAATACCACAGTCTACCATTTTTGTTGGTACCTGGAACGTCAACGCCAAGGGCAAGGAAGAATCCCTGCGCGAATGGATTTGCGGCGACTGGATGCGCCACAATCTCATGCCGGATATTGTCGTGGTGGGGTTCCAGGAGATCGTCGATCTCAATGCCGTCAACGTTGCGGTAGGAAACAAAACGGAGCAGAGGACCCAGTATTGGTCGGATCAGCTCCTGCAGACTCTGAATCCTTCACACAATCAGCACGGCCAGCCCTTGGCACCACAATACTCCCTCGTCATGCAACGGAGCCTGGTGGGATTGTTGATTTGTTTGTTTGTCAAGGTCCAGCATAGACCTCGATGTAAGGCGGTTGCTAGCGATTCGGTCGGCGTCGGTGTTATGGGTATGATGGGTAACAAGGGTGGGGTCAGTGTTCGCCTCCAATTTTACGACTCGAATATTTGTTTTATTTGCAGCCACTTGGCGGCCCACCGAGAAAACGTTGCGGGACGAAATGCCGATTTTCTAAATGTACTTCAAAAGACAAGCTTCGAGGTAGGCGAAGAAGTGGTTCGGGAAACCATCCGCAACGGGTCCATGAGCCAATGGGCCCTCGGTACTTCCAGCGTAAGCGCTACTGATCACGACGTCGTCTTTTGGCTCGGAGATCTGAACTACCGCATCGACGAGAGCATGCCAGTCGAAAAAGTACTGGAGCTGTCGATCCAAAAGCGACTGGATCCCCTGCGCCCCCTCGATCAACTCAACGTAGAGCGGAAAGAGGGGCGGGCTTTCCAGGGCTTCGAGGAAGGGGTCCTGAATTTTGTTCCGACCTACAAATACCAGCCGGGGACAGATGTCTACGAGCAGCGCCCCGAAAAGAAATTGCGTGCCCCGGCCTGGTGTGATCGAATCCTATGGATGAGCCCTGACGATCCCCAGCACATTCAGCAACTCACTTACAACCGAAGTGAGACGCCAAATTGTTCCGATCACAAACCAGTGTACTCGACCCTGCGCTGCACCGTGAAGGACGTGGTGGTGGAAAAGCGTGAGCGGATCTACAAGGAACTTCTGGGCCTCTTGGATCAATTCGAAAATCAATCCCTTCCGATGGTCGGATTGGATACCACCGAACTAGACTTTGGGGCAGTGCGATACGAGCAATCCGTCACTCTGCCCATTCGGATTACCAACACCGGAAAAGTTTGCGCCCAGTACCGGTTTGTTACGAAACTCGACGAGGTATGTTTTTTGCTTTTGCTGTCGTTTCTTATATCTAGAATCTGTTGATACACAGCGTGTTGGATCGCATTGAATTCGTGTACAATTGTTTACGATATGAGTCATTCACACAATGTTCCATTGCATTTTACCCTTGTCGATATTTTTCACAATATCTATGTTACGGCAATATTGTCAACAATTTTTTAGAATTTTTTGTGCAAGTCTTGGATGACCATAACGCCAACGTATGGGATGCTTATTCCGGGAGAAACTGCTGCCACTATCAACGTCACAGTAACGATTGACAACAAGACCGCACAGTTGTTAAATGGGGGGAGGGAGGTATTGGATGATGTACTCATCCTGCGATTAGAAAATGGGCGCGATTACTACATTACGGTGAAAGGAACGTATGCGAGATCGTGCTTCGGGATGACCCTCGACGAGATGGTCCTGTACAAGGACCCCATCCGCACCATTCCGCTCGACCCAATCGAACGTGCCGGTCAGTTCCCCAACGAGTCGGATATCAGCCCTAGCAATGCCTTGTGCATTCCGAAAGAGCTTTGGCGAGTTGTAGATGCAATTTACGAAAAAGGATTGCAAACCCCAGAACTCTTTTCTACAGCTGGAATCCCCGCAGAGGTAGCGCACATCCGCGAAGCGCTCGACACCGGTTCTCCCTTCTCTTCGCCTTACTCAATCCACTCGTATGTGGAGTGTTTTACCAAATTGTTGTCGTCGCTCTCCGCTCCAGTTATACCCCCGAGCATGTTTCCAATGGTCGAGATCAATTCCGAAAACATTCAATCGATGTCCCGTAAATTCTTGGAAGTATTGACGCCGGTACACTACAATGTACTGGTCTATGTCATGTCCTTCTTCCGAGAAGTTTTGCTCTATAGAGACAGGAATGGACTGACAGCAGCCAAAATAGCCCGCATTTGTTGCCAGTGTTGTTCGCCAACTCCTGCCAATGTCGTCTTAGAGACTACCATGGTCCAACGGCAAGCAGGAATGCATCTAATTTTGCTACACCTTCTAGAAACAAGCTCAATTTAACACGTACTAAAAAGTCACTAAAAACCATGTGTGTGAACAATTTACAGTACAATTTCGAGTAGTAGTGATATCAATAATGAAATGTCCTATCCGATCGAATGGAAGTCACCCCTTGAACACTGATGAAACAGAAATGTATTGGAAATACATTGAATCGAAATCTTCAAAATCCATTTCTTTGATGATGTTGCTGTTGCAAAAGATCCATTTGACGCAACAAATTCATTTGACTTTGTTGCTGGGTCAGCTCTGCTTTGTGTACGCTCTGTGCTCGAAGGTATTGTTCCTGTTCAAATTGATGTAAGATTTGAGCTCTGTGATGCCTAGCGATCATTTGCTGTTCTTGCTGCTGCCTTATGGTAACCTGTTGGTGTTGCCCAGTGATGCGGGATTGCAACTCGAGTTGATCTTTTAGCTGCTTGTCTTGGTGGTTGAGCCGAAAGAGCGACTCGGGCACCTTCAAGCCATTTCGAGCATTAACATTATGTTGAACGCCAAGGGTAAATTGGTCTACATTGTTAAGTGTTCCAGTACCTTTTGGTGGCGCACCTTTCGTCGCTAGCATCGTCCTACATTGGAGCGCAGCTGCATCATGTTGCTCTGAACCTTGTCGTTTTGCCTGGTCGTTACCATTCTTATCGAGGGGAGGAGCAGGAAGCTGAGATCTACTATGATCGGCCATTCCACCTTGAACAACTGTTTCTTTATCAAAGTGGTCTCGAAGTCTTAAATACTTGCGTGATTCCAAACTAGCTCGAGCTTGGTCGAGAGTAGGCAGAGGACTTGTCTTCTCGAGTTCAAAGAAATCAGGCTCCTCAGATTTTGACATGGCCAACTTCTTGTGGGTTCTTGGCAGCCGACGCATGTATTTTTGCAAATGAGGTTTTCCTCTTAGGAACAGTTCGTGAAAGTAGGATCCGCGATCTGGTCCAGACGATTTGCGTCGAAAACTCCATGCATTGATGACACGGTTGAAAGAATGATAATTATCGCTTTCAAAGAAGACTGTGTTGTCGCATGAAAAGGTGGGTATCAGAAGTGCGAAAGGAATGGAGAGAGGAAGAGACCAGCGCATTATGGTAGGCGTATCCATACTAGATGATATGAGAAAGTGCGAATAAATGCAATGGATTTTCACTTTTGCTTTGGTTGGTGTTTTTTCAATGTCTTACCTGGCAAAACAGATGTCTCAAAGATGCGGGTCTCGAGGACCTTCCAGCTGCGACCGTGAGGCATCCATGTGATTATGTTCGATAACTGTGGCTGAGACAATAAAGCATATAATTTGGTCGGGAACCGTTGTGAACGAACCCATCCCGATGCGCGCAAGACAGGGGGCGGTTGTTGCAAATACGAAATTGACTGGTGCTGTGCAGATTGAGCCGCCGCCATAGTGGTGGATTCGTCGAGAGCTTGTAGGAGACCCTCTTGATCGATCTCATAATCCACATCGTATTCTTCCTCTTTTATCTGGGCGAAATCACAGTAAACATAGCGATCTTTCGGGGAACCTTTCCCTAGTGCTCCACGTCCTGTTTCCCACTTTTGCATGTCTGGCTTTTGGGCATCTGCAAGTGTTCCAACCGTCACATTATTGCTGATTTTATTGGTGGAGGATTTGTCCTTTTTCTTCATGGTTATCTTTATATCGAACTAATTGAAGCGTAAGAGTGATGGAGTATCGTAGCTATCGGTTTTTACGAACTGAACGGAATCTGTTCATTCCGTGTTCCATGGGATCTGTCTGTAACTCTTGATTTTAAGTTTGTGTGGGAATCGGCACGAGTACGATACGTACGAGTACCGGTACGGCAATGCAATTCTTTTTCCTCTCAATCGTTCTACGTTACTCGGGAACACTATATATTCACGTAAATGAGACTAGAATGTTTGTATGAGGATCAATATGGAAGCGTTTTGTTTTTAGTTGTCGGACGTCGTATTATTCGGTTCGTGTACACTTACTTCCTTTGCCCTACAAAGAATGTTTTCAGTTTCTAGAATTTCTAGAATTCTTCTATGTTCACCAATCCAAAGAAAGTTGAAAAAATATTTGTCGATTTTTAATTAACGCAATTTGACTTGGAATACTTGAATGAACAAAATTGACATTTTGAAAATAATATTACTTTTTACTTAAAGCGCTACATTTTTTGACTTCAGCACCAATATGTGTATTCATTAAACGTAAGCTTCAAGAGCGAAAAGAAAACCCAGGTCAGCTTCAATGCATAGTACTGGAAACAATATCTATGAAATGAAAAACAATGCAGAACATGTTCAATCTTCTTTTCCGCTTAGCGAAGTTGAAACCATCTCATAATATTAGAATAATAATTGCGATTTGACTAGTTCAGCGGTTCTACAAGGAGTGAATGAGACTCTTAACGAATATTAACATTCTCTTTCATTTTTTGTGTAGAAATTACTTAATGTACTTTCATAGCCTACAGAAATAATGATTTCAAGAAAATAATCAGGCGCTATGTCTTCATTTGAATTGAACTTTTTCAATCCTCCGTTATTTGTGTTACTCGTAATCGTCAAAACGAAACTGAGGTAATGAGATTCGAGTACGTACGCGTACGAGTAACTCGTACTAGTACGATTCAAATCAAAATTACAGGTACGAGCGAGCTTACTGTATCCAATTGAGGTACGATACGTACGCTGCCGTAAAATAGTTCGATTGTGACCAGGCAGTACCCAGGTACCGTACGTACGTACATTCAGGGGTCATAATTTAGAGGGGAGCGCATCGAATTGGCTACGGTGCACTGCACTTTACTTCACTATCTTTAGTGCGCCTAGCCAGTAGCTTTGAAGAATTCTTACAGTCCTGGACTTACCAAGGAAACAAAAAGAAACTTTTTTAGTGTTGATTTGTACAAACCCCGGTATATTAATTTACAAAAACAAAAACAAAAACAAGAACAAGAACAAGAACAAGAAAAACAAAGAAGCTTGTGCTCCTGATATTCTTAGAAGGGATAGAGCAATACTACAGCATCATGCTAAGAAACTATAGCAGCAGGACAAAAAGGAAGCTGAGATAAAAAATAAGGCACACATGCTGGCAGTAATTTCTAAGGTGAAGCACCAAAGAGCAAAGTTGCCAAAACCATTCTTACATACCTTTGTAGCCCAAATTGTAAGGGAATCCAATGCCCTTTACAAGACAAATCTAGTAAATACTGATACTACGTCACAAAAAGTGATCGCACCCTCTCGCATGCTATCACGACGTTTTTTTCGAGAATACTCACCCCCTTTTTAAAAAATCACGTGCCAAACC